GAGTCCCCCAGGGTTCAGTCCTGGGACCACTTTTGTTCTTATTGTACATAAATGATTTGCCCAATTATGTGTCTGCCAAAATCTGCTTTTACGCTGATGACTGTGTCTTATATAATGTAATTAATACCAATGATCACCACATTTTTCTTAGTGATTCTTTTGCACAATTTTGCAGATGGTGTGACACATGGCAAATGAACATAAACTTTACTAAAACAGTTGCTCTTTTCTTTTGTAAACGCAGCTCCATTTCGTTGTTCGATTACTCCTTCAATGGCTCCTCTCTGTCGCGTGTGTCCAAATATAAGTACCTAGGCCTCATCTTCACACCCAATATGTCTTGATCGAAACATATTGAATACTCTTGCAATAAAGCTTTAAAGAAACTGGGCTACCTAAATCATACATTAAAAGATGCTCCACCCGAAACAAAGTTGCTAATGTATAAATCGCTCATCCGTCCCATCCTCGAATATGCCTGCCCCGTATGGAACCCTCATAAAAAATCGGACATCAGCACACTAGAATCCGTTCAGAAGGAAGCCATCCATTTCATTTTCTGCCGTTACAACTGGAATTTCTCACCCTCCTCTCAACTTGCTACGCTAGGTCTGCAAACCCTGTCCGAGCGACGCGAGCTCGAATGCCTAAAGTTACTGCATATTCCTGTTAATACCCCATGCTACGCATTAACTAACGAATATCAGTCTCCTAATAAACTGAAACCCACAAGGAATAGCCACAAACTCAACCTGACACCATTCCATCCACGTACTAACCTATTTAAATTCAGCTTTTTTTCCGCACACTATAGAAAAACGGAATGTATTGCCTGGGTCAACTGCATCATTGCATTTAGAAGATTTCTTGCATGAATGTATTGATTTGCAATTTGTTTATTAAGAGTTTGCTTGAATGTATTGATTCGGAATTTGTTTATTAAGAGTTCCATGCCTGTTTGTTAAGAGTTGTATTCTTGTGTGTGCTGATGTATGGCAAACCCACTCCTGAGATAGCCCAATTCGGGCTGCAGCGTGTAAAAATAAAAAATAAATAAATAAATATATGGGAGAATCGTGTACGGCCCACAACGCAACACAATTTGCCACTCATCGCACAACCATTAACACGAAAAAAAAAATTGCACGTTCAACGAAGGAAGCGCCCGCCAAACCCACACAATCACGATAAGCAGATACTGTAGTGGCACATCAGCTCTGTCACTTCCGCTTTGCGAAAAATCAACGCCACACAAACAATGTTGCCATGAATTCTGGCAAGCGAGGTGAGCATTTGGAGGCAAGCTATTTTGAGGCAAGCTATAAAGTTCATTTGAAAAGAATCTGCCAAACTCTGAAGCCTGTAATTTGGCATGAATGGCAAAAAAGTGCAAAGAAACATACCCAGTGAATTTCATTGATATCTACTGAACTAAAAAAATCAGCAGAGTTGGCCTTTAAAGAAGTTGAAATCGAGAAGAAATCAACATAGGACGTAGCACGTAGGCAGGATAACCGCTGGTCATTAAGGGTAACTGACTGGATTCCCAGAGAAGGCAAACACACGAAGGGGAGACAGAAAGTTAGGTTGGCCAATGAGATGAAAAAGTTAGCAGGTACAACGTGGCAGGGGAAACAGGGATGGAACAGGGTACATGGGTTTGGGATCTGTTCTGGGAGCAGGTAAAGGTGCCTTTAGGAACAGGCTTGGAGCAGCTAGAAGGGCCTTTTTTTAGAAAGTTTAGAGCAGTCAGGACATTTAGGGCACATGTAGCCCCATCACAAAGCAGCTTTAACACACCAGTTGTCTAATGCTGGATTTTCAAACACTCAGCTAAATACGGAACATCAGGGCAGCGGTGAGACGAGTTCTCGCTGCTGCCCTGATGTCTTGTGTAAAGTCTGAATCGATAACATAGCCCAGCGAATTATATGATCTACCAGCAGGTAAAAAGTGTGAGAGCATGAGGGACAAGCGCGGCTGATGCAAGGATAAAAAAAAGCCGGCCTATCTGTCGCTCTGAGGGTGCATGCGATAACATCTTTCTGCTCAGAAGGTCTGTTGTTGAAGCAAAGAGAAAGCACTTCAATTGTCTTGAGAGAGCATGACAAGAAGCAAGAAAAGGGGGTGTGTCTCGGGCAGCAACTGTAAACATTGCTCTTAAGGGCATGGCTGCGATCGCTGGCACGCGCCGGCTCGGCAGATATCAGCAGGCGGCTTGCATACACTTCCAAGAACTGTACTCTCATCGCGCTGTGCGAAATGTCTTGCTCTTCCTGAATACGGGCTCTCCAAGATGTCGCCATACTCCTTTACACCAGCATTTTGCAGAGTTACGTTGATTGGATTCAACAGAGTTAGCAGCCAGCTTCACTTCGTATAAGATTACAATTTGTTGTTGTCGCGTTCATTGCTTCACCCTTGCAATGAAAATGCGACTTTGGCCACTTACAGCCATTCATCTTTTTGAATTTTTTAAAACCTGAAAGTGTGATCATCAAACGCCGAATCGATAAGCGCGTATAACAAAGCATAGCGACCAAATGAACGAGAATACATGTGTACACTCGACGGCCAATCCTGCGCAGCTGTCTTTGCTAGGCTGTTCCACGAACCGGACACCAATCCCGCTTCCTTTTAGCACCATTACTGTCATCCCTTTTTTCCTTCTACGAACATGGCCATCAAGTTATATATAAAAAAGCTTTGTCGCAATGACAAAGTAATGAATGTGATAAAAAGAAATTGTTAGACAGGCAGCCAATTCTATAAGATCCGATGTCGCGTAACTCTACAAAAACGCTAGTGTAAGAGAATATGGCTGTGCCAGGTAGAGATGCTCTTTTCGCAGTCTCTTTGCACTGAAAGAGCAGCACGTAAGGTTCACAAGCCATTCGAGCTGATGCCTGCCGTGACAGCTCGCTCCCTTAGTGATTAATACCGCGCCCATAGAATCAAAGTTCACAGCTGCTGCTGGGGCGATCACAGCCTTGATAAAACTGAAACTATATTTCGATGAAACTGAAAACATCATGCAGATAAATGCAGATACAACCCAGATAAATGAGTTCGGCGCGCAATGATTCAGGTAAATTATTTTAGCACAGAATGGCGCATATGGTGCAGCTGTTCCAGCCCTGCAGAAAGCACAAGATTGATTGATTGAGGGTTGATTGGCAAACCATGGGAGTGGCCTTTGCCCTGCAGTGGGCAGAGTCATGCTGCTGTTGATGATGATTATCTAAACACAGCAATTGCCCCTTTGGCTGTTTCCTTCGCTACCCTCTGCTCGTTTTGTCTCCCAAAGCAGCTTTGCCTTCCTCGCCAAGTGTCCCTTCAAAGCTCATGCATGTCTTCGCTTACACATTATTCGAAACGCCATCTACTTCCAGTTGAAGCAACTTCGTCAACTCCATGATTGCAGGCTAATTGTTGCTGTGCTGGCCCGTGCTATTTAGAACTGTACCATCATGAAGCCTGCGTTGTGCACATGTCTTCAAAGGATGGCCAACATTTTGGATCCGTGCGGCGACACGCCGTGCAAGAGCGCCTCTGCCTGAAATAAGCAGTAACCACTACACAACGAACAACAAAAAGCATGCGCAATCGCTTGCACACTAACGAGACCGTAGTTGTAGGCTCTTGTTTGACCCCTTGAAGCGTTAATTGTGCTCCGCACCACATATTAAACTTCACGACACCACACACATCAATCACTACGGAGGTCAGAAAGGCCAAAAGAGGAGAAGGGGCTGTTTCTTGGAATTCGTGGTGCGCCCACGGCTCTTAGCGCTGCCACGTGTATCTTCATTGATCGTGACGGCATTCCACACGTGATGCGAGTGCTTACTTGAAATGTTTGAAAAATATTAGAGGTGGCTTAGGAGCCTTTAATATGGCACTGATAGCAGTTCTTGTTTATTTTTTTTAGATCTTATATATACTGATTTTTAATTACAATAAGATTAACAAGAAGTGGATTAGAGAGTGAACTATTTTTTGTAATGACAAAGGGCACCGCAAGGGCTCAAGTGTTAACTGGACGAGAGAAGGAAGAGAACAATGAAGTCAGAATAGGAGCCACCGGCCCTGCAAAAGGGTGCTGTGCCTTATTTCTCCTCTACAATGGCCCAGTCTGCGACTTACGAACCATAAGTGCGTTCCCGTGGGTCATCGCCACCGTGGGCTTGCCTTATAATGCACGCTGATCACAGCACCGCGACCATGAAGCCGACGACCCCCTTGCAGCCGAGACCACCTATGCCACCATTCGAGGACAGCATTCAGGCCTTCTCGACGGCTCCTGGGCATGCGTACCCTGGGCCTACCAAGACAGTGCATGACCTACCGTTGCCTGGGCATGCCATTCTCACTTCCCCAGTGCTAACATCTTGCTCAGTGTTCTATGTCACCTCAGCCGCTTAGGGGTGCTGTCCAAGCTCCCTAAGAATCTGAGGTGGAGGTTTTGGTGAAGTGCATTGGAACTGTACTTTTCACTACCGTCATCGTTGTCATCCACGTCGACTCACGCCAAGGAAGGCAACACCGGACAAATGCCGGCAAAAACACTGTATTTCGGCCTTCGTGATGTCACTGTGTGTTGTACGAGCATCTGCGGAACAGCTCAAACGGAATGCTAGTCACGCTAAAGTAAGGTGGGTTCACAAACACACCCAGAAAGAGCATCATGATACGTGTGCCAGAAACGCTGCAGCTCAACCCACATTCGACCGTGCCCACTACATTTCATATGGTTCCTAAATATCCTAATCATACTTTGTATAACAGTTCGATGTGTTGCTATCGCATTCGTTGCTACGGCCTTGTGTCGAAGCTGCGACTTTTCTTTTTAATTTAGAAAGTGTGCCCTTAAGCTTCTCTAGCAAGGGGAACAGATGGGTACAGACATGAAGAAAAGAGCTGACAAGAGTATCTTGTGTGATTTTACTACTGAGCTCTTTCTCTAGCACTGCCATAAACACGAGTTTGGCCATCCTTACCAGTTGGTCGTCCCGACAAACATCCTTGAGGTTTTCCGGTGCCACCACCAGCAGGTTGCAGAGGGCATGCAGCACATCAAACATTTTGTCCAGAGCAGGGATCTTGAACTGTTTAGCACACTTGCGGTACTCATTGTGGTCGCAGATGAGGATCATGCCGCCTGCAAGGAAGCAGCCATGCTGGTCAAACAGCACAACAAATTGAATAGGAGGAGGCTTCAAAAGCTGCATGCAGTGGTCATCAGAAGCAGTAACATAGTAATAACTAGCAAAGCTTGCTCTAGAACTGTGTCAGGTACAATAAAAGAAGGAGCTCTTTTCATACAGTTCCGCCACTCTAAGTGACTTCTGTGGCAACACTCCATCCATGGGAATATAAAAACAACACAAATAGATTTATGGTAGAGCATCTTGCAGTACTCTTTGGTTGCCTTTGCACTTAAGTGGACACAATGGCAGCACTAGGCAAGGTGTGAAATGAATTCTTGACTTGCTGACGCCAACAAGGGCACTAAAAAAGGAAATGATCAAGAGAGAGAAACGAATTGATGGTTGTCAGCCCTTTTGGGTCACTGAAATTACTGCGTGACTCTTAAAGAGCTGCCAAATGGTCAATGCTGAAGATTTATGGTGCCACCTGTATGTTCAGGGGAAAAAAAAGCCTATTTTTCATTGACTTTTTCTTAAAAAGTCCTTTCCCCAAGCCTGTATGAATGAATCAATAAGCTTTATTTAAAGGAGCACTGACATCAAATTTCAAGATCGTTATGTGCCCATCATTCGATCACTTGGTATGTATCAGTGTTCTTGGCCAAATTTGAACGGCATCCGTCGTGTCAAAGTTATTTTATTTTGACGAACAACAGCATAGAAAAACTAAGGAGAAGAAACTAAAAATAGACTGCCTTGCGACATCGACACTAGTGTTATGTGCTCGTTGTGATACATTCCACAAATACCATCTTGAGTGACGATACGCTAGTACGGATGACGTCAACAATCTCTGAGTGTGTTTGGAGCCGACTCCCAGCCATGTCACCAGTGGCTCTCCTTGCTGTGTTGAAGCGTGCGTGTGATTCAGCGTGTCGCATTGACTGATTTGCGTTGTGCCCCACTGCGTGTGAGTACGATCATTCAGAGCGACAATACGTGCCAGAATGTCAGGGAACTGCGTAGTGAGAACCTGCATGTCGAGGTGCAGAAAAAGCAAGAAGTGCGTGGCATTTCATGCTTCACAAGCCATGAACCTCAACACAGCCAGCGAGTTGACTTCATACGCGTCGTTGGACAGAGGGACTGGACACCTGCGAAGTACAGCCGCATTTGCACTCTTCACTTTGCGGCAAGCTGCTACAGCGTACATCCAGTGTTGGCGAACCAGTTGGGTTTTGGCGAACCAGTTGGGCGAACCAGTTGGGCGCATCTAGATGTCAACGTCAGCGGGAGAATGGTATGGCTTCAAGCGAGCCACATGTACGATATCGGTGGTCTGTGAGGCAGTTGAAGGCGATGGGGCATCAGGGGCAATTTCGTATGTCACAGGAGTAATTTCACGAAGGACTCGACATGAACCTGTGTAGCGGGAAAGAAGTTTTTCCGACAAGCAGACTTGACGGGTCGGGGACCACAGCAGCTCTTTATTGAATAGTTGCGCTCGGCAGATGTGAGAGGGCGGCTAGCGTAGGTGATGACGCGGTCGTATCCCCACTGGGGTTTTTTCGTTCCCAGTCGATTGCATGACAACTTTCCTGGAGCCTCTCTGATGCACCATCAGCGCCGAGGGCATATCCAGGTAGACCAGCATTTGATACCCGTTGCCAATCTGGCCCAGCTGAAAGGGGACAGCCTTTCACAATGCCATTACATACTTTTAAAACTTCTCTAGGTCCTTTTCATAGCTTTTTAGTAGTTTCTGCGAGACCGACGTACGTCGAATGAAGGGAGAAACCCAATGCTTGCTCGCTTTGAAATCCTCCAGCTGAATGCCTTTGTCTCAGGCGATCTCCCTTGCCTTCGCTTGTAGCAGCTCACTGTTAAAGTGCCCCCGCACAAAGTCTGTGAGTTTTCGTTCCACGTCAGGAAACGCTCCATTTTTTGGTACGCTGAAGCTTTTTTGTTGGCCGCTGCAAGCAAAGACGACATCCTTCTGTTTCCACCAACCACGAATACTCCGCTTGTCGACTCTGAGCTGCTGCTCCACAACACAGTTACCAATGGTTTCAGCATCAGGGATAACTTTAGTTTTAGAAGCAACCTAGTACTGGCTGCACGGCGCTGACAAGGCAAAAAATCACAGAAGCAAAATCATGGCCGTCGTTATGACCGCCAAGTTAAAGCAAAGCCACTGACCACTGTTTCACGCGTGCTTCTGTGAGACCAATGCCTGCTACCGCTGCTAACACTACCTAGCACCTAGCACAAAAGCGTGCAAACACCTGCAATGATGATAGCACCGTGCTTTGCCGAAACCAAAACAAAATTTTGGACGAAAATTCTTGGAACCCGCATATAGTACGGGGCTGAAATTTCGTGCCCCAAAATTTAGAATTTTAGTTTAGAAGAAAACCTCCCGCTATGCGTAGGCTTTTACGGCATATGAGTGTGATGTGTTAGGTTCTTGATATTAAGCACTGCCACAGAAAAATCATTTCCGTGGCATAATAAATGGAACCGTACAGTGAGGAAAAAACAAAAAAAAAACAATCTTTTGTTATTAAGCAAAGAAAATTTTCGAAAGACATTACAAATGATACGGGCAAGGAAAATGATGATTACATAAACAGATTGTCCAATAGTCCAGATTAAGCTAAGCTAATTGAGTTAGTGTCCGGAAAAACAAAATAATTAGTTCCTCTCACAGTTTGGTCGATGTCGGAATGTCGTGGTGATGCTGTGATGAGGTGTCGGTGATGTCGGGGTTGGTAGATTGGGGAAGACGAGGGTAGGTGCAGCGTGGAGACACGATCGCAATATACTCTCCAAGTATCCCCTGGACATCACTGCCACAATGACGTGGCACAGCAGGCGTCGTCCTTGCCGGACAACAAGCTCGTCCCCATGTCCACAGGCTCGGGTCCGGAGCCCAACAGCCTTGAGAGCCCCAGGAACAGCTTGGTCCGCACGTCTTCCTCAGACATTTCATGCGCCAGTCCCACTGTCTTCCTTCTTCTCTTCCTTGCTTTTCTTTTTTCGTCCGATGCCTTTTTTGGTTTAGTTTTGCTTCACTTCACTTACACTGGCAACACATCATTTTAGTCCAACAGTTGTGTCCATCATGTCCACTATTATGCTCATCACAATGAGCAAGTGAGGCATATGTAATCCGGGGCACATACTTTTTTCTTTTATTATTACCATGCTTTTTATTTTGATGTGGCTGGTTTAAATCCACAAACACTGTTACCAATATTCGGCGCAGACTACGCCTCAGTGCTTGAGAAGCTTCTCGTCTGTAGCAGATCATTTTGTTATAATTGCGCATAAGACGCGAACACTCAAGATTATTCCAGAGCTCGCACAATCATCAGTGATAAGGCTGGAAAGTTCAACGAGGTTCAAGAGACGACGCATCTCAGTAAAGACCTATTGATGCGCGGCTGATGCAGAGTTTATCGCTATAAGTGCCAGTGTTTATTTCTGTAGACCGATTTTTCATTTTTTACATTTACTGGCCACGAATTTTGCCAAATAAACAGTTTCATCTTGGACGTACTGACCACTGTATTCCTCAAACTCATGACTACGTGACACCTGGTAGAGGTGCGGGATAAGTATATCTGTTATTTTTTATTGTTAATATTAATGAATGATCAATGCACCTATACATACAAAAAGCATTATGCTACTTTATAGTCACACTCACAAATCAGGGTAAAATTTTAGGGGCGAAGCTCCTTAAGGTGTTGGTGTGTACATCCTCTGTTGGTTTATGTAGCCACCAGTGGCACATACTCGTTCCAGAGCAGGTATGTGCTACAGGGTATGCGAGATTGCCTAGCTTGCAAGTAAGAGCAAGTATGTGCCACAGGGCATGCCAGATGGGAGATGGCGGTACTTGGAGTGTTCACTAGATGGACGCACGGATGGACGGGTGGACGGACGGGCGGAGCGAATATGTGCCACAGGGAATGTGAGATGGTGGTACTTGGAGCGTCTCCTAGATGGACGCATGGAGAGACAGACTAGAAGGCGGACAGGCAGATGGACGTGCGGAAGGATGGACGTGCGGACAAATGGACGGACAGACGAATGGATGGACTCAAGGATGGACGCATGGTCAGACAGATGGACGCATGGATGGACGCACGGATGGTCGCATGGACGGACAGAAGCAAGACAAAACGGACGTACGGAAGCACGGACGGGCTGACAGACGCTTTGCCTCATTCATAATCCTTTACTCTGTGTATATGCTGTGATCTTTCCAGAACAGTTTACACTGAATGCAAAAGAAAAAAAAAAACCCTGCAGAAGTCAGCTAAACTTTAAAGAAAGAAGTGTGGCCCTTAACGACAAATGGTGTAAATCATGAGGGGGTCAGGGCGGTTTAGACACCCCTTACATGTCCTCTTTAAATTTTCTTTTTCAAACACCAGCTTTCTGAATGGTTTAGTATAGCACATTCCACATATTTAATGCCTCCCCCCCACCCTCACCTGGGTGAGGCCATTTAAATCTCTGCCAATTGAAAAAAAAAAAGACTATAGAATAATGCAAATACATGATCTAGGAACCCATAATCCTTTTTTTTAAATCGTATTCACTTGCATAATAGGCGCACTTTTAAAGATGATAGTCTTTCTTGGGGACCTTCGACGAAAAATTTTTGGTCTGTCTGTCTGTCTGTCTGTCTGCCTATACATTCGTCTGTCCGCCCTTTCCAAAACCTCAAACGGCACTAAACGGCCAACCCCATCTACAGCGCACATCAATATTGCTCAGGATTCAGCGTTCACACTTGTGCGATTGTCAATTAAAAAGCAATTATTGCGCATACCTGAGGCACCATAACAACACGTCGATGTTTTGTATGTGTGCCTTTATACTAGAGAAGGCAAACACAAATAATTCTAAGAACCGTAGTGTTTATCACGCTGCGCTGACAGTGCAACGCGATGCTCAAAAAGGTAAGTGCTTCCAAAGCTTTGCTGAAACAACACATTGGTGGCACCTACCTGTCGATTTGCATTCTACACCTTATCACCTCCGAGACAAGCACGCATCTTTTTCTGCGGGCACGCATGTCTTCCTTCGTTTTCGAACTACCAGATGGCGCTCGCGTCTAACGTGCTTCGATGCGCTCGTTCGCCTTTACTACATGCTCGAGACACTAATGCAGCGCCTCCAGAATACCATTCACCAATTTTCTGGTGCAGAACATCAAATAAACGTTTTGTTCACTCCCTCAAGACGCAAGACAATCGTCTTTTGATGCCATTTGCAGTGTAACAACATTCAGGTCCATTTTTTCCCCCAAGAAATCCGTCTCCAAGTTCGAGGTGCACCTATTACACGGGGTAAAATTTCCAAAAATTTTATTTCCGACTACAGCATAAACCGCTAATAACGTATACATCGCCAAAGCCACGAATATCCACGCTACAGCCGAAACAACTTTCTTCATAAGCTACACTAGCGCAAAATGTGTTGAGCATGCAGTGTCTCGTGTCCGAAAATGAAGGCAGGGGATGCATTCAAATTTCCAAAAATTTAATATTGGAAGACCCCTGTTGCCATCATAATGAACGTGGAAAAAAATAATAAAATAATAAAACTACGAAAAGAAAGCGCCATCACGAAAATTTGCAGATTAAATTTCAGGCGACATAAATTACTTGTGCACTGAACGATACTGATCGCTTATTTCACGGGCTTGCACCTCATATCCAAGACATTTCAATCAAATAGCGAACCATCATTCGAGTGTTACAAATGCACCTATGTCCCCTTTCTTTCCAGTAGAGCCACTGAAAAGAGTTAGGTTGATCCCGCACAAAACCACAATAACATCACCCATGACTGCCAACGAAAAGCACGAGCAGTGATTCATCATCATCATCATCATCAGTCTGACTAACCCGAATGCAGAGATGTTACTTGGCTCGCGACTTCAACTTAACTTGAGCAAGTCGGCGCGAAGCAAGCAGTGGACTTCAAAACGCCCAAGTCAGCCTTCGCGTTTTATAGATGCTCAGGCTGTCCTGCTTGGTCAAGTCAATAACGAGCTTCAAAGCAGAAACACGCTGCTCGCCTGATAACGAGGGTAATAATGAAGTTGTTCACGTAAGGCACGCATTACACCAAAAAAAGACCATACGTTTTAAAATAACAATAATAACAAAGGGCCACAAGCATATTCTTGCCATTTTACGGCTAACGAGCGGCACGTGGTGCCTGCCACCACAGCGATGCGCAGTGTTGCTTCTGTAAAGCGTTTGTTTCCCGCTGGTTTTAGTGGCCACCCAAATGCGGCGCGTTTCTCCACGGTTGCTTGTTTGGAGGCGAAACAAGCATCGCGTTGGGTTCTTTCGACGTTTTTTTTTTTTCTCAATCGAACGCCATGGCATGTATTTGTGCTGAGCTGGCTCACGAGGTGACGTAATTTTCACGGTATTTGCCTTTCTGTTCGCCTGTGAGCATACCTGTAATGGGCTAGGTCGCAGTTATTATGAAAAAAAAAACAAGTTCTGGGAACAAATGTCATTCGTATCCTTTTGTTGAGCTTGGTAAACAAGAGAAAAAGCGGGGGTCAGGACATTGCCCTCAGCAGAATTCTGTCTCGCGGGGTGCAGCAGCAATGTATCGCTGCATGATGATGATGTGGATAAAAAAAAACCCGTGATAGGGGCACCACTTTTTTATGTGTGTGTAATTTTACGTAGCGTTGTGCTACAAGCGATGCCTTTCTGAGCGAGAAACAGCGCCCTAGACGGGACAAAAGGATAAACGAGGCACACGGACACAGCACTGAGTCGATTTTTTTTTTTACCGAAAGAGACGGAAAATGTCGTCATGTTATATAAAAACAGAAATAGCCTTTGCAATTACGGAACACTTCGGCGTTGTCGACACCGGGGCTATTAATACGCACGTGTGTGTAGTCGACACAACCTGTAACGCAAGGGAACTTAGCCACTTCATAACAGTCCGTCGACTGCGGAAAGCGCACCAGCATCGCGTACAGGTGCTTTGCGATGAGTAGCGTAACTTTTCCGACTGCATGGCACACTGTCGACTACGGTATGCGGACGAAATTTCCGGTGACTGGTTGGTATGTGCCAGCGCTGTAAAACCTGAGAGCCAGCAGTAGCTGTAACACTGGATGCACGGGCTGTCTCCGGTTGTCCCCACTTTCACGGAGCGGCAACATAACGAGCAGCTGCCCCACGGCGTTTTTCATGAATCTGTACCTAGCGTGGAATCGTTGCTCGTCATACAACTCCATCAGATTTCCTTGGTCACGTAAAGCGGTTCCAAGAATCTTCGGCAGGCAGTGCGCGTCAAAAAAAGCTACGCTTATGGCGAGGCAAGCAAACTCAAAAGCGGCCACCTTTCACGCGACGTCCATTCGAGAGGCGGCCATGTTGGAATAACGCGTGAAGTCGCTTTCAAGCTAGCCCCGCAGCTGACTTGAAACTTGTCCTGACTTCGACCGAGCCAAGTCACCTTCAAGTCATCCGCAAGTTCGAGAACGATTTATGGCGACCGGCAAGACTGTCTTGAGTCAAGAACGAGTCAAGTATGAGTCAAGTAACATCTCTGCATTCGGGGGTAAGTCCACTGCAGGACAAAGGCCTCTCCCATGTTCCGCCAGTTAACCCAGTCCTGTGCTTGCTGCTGCCAATTTATACCCGCAAACTTCTTAATCTCATCTGCCCACCTAACCTTCTGTCTCCCCCTAACCCGCTTCCCTTCTCTGGGAATCCAGTTTCAGAAGCCTAGAATGGGAACAGTTAGGGATAAGAGTTAATGAAGAATATCTTAGTAACCTGCGCTTCGCCGATGACATTGCATTGCTGAGTAACTCAGGGGACGAATTGCAACTCATGATTACGGAATTAGACAAGGACAGCAGAAAGGTGGGTCTTAAAATTAATTTGCAGAAAACGAAAGTAATGTACAACAACTTCGGAAAGGAGCAGCGCTTCGAGATAGGAAATAGTGCACTTGAAGTTGTAAAAGACTATGTCTACTTAGGGCAGGTAATAACAGCAGAGCCCAAGCACGAGATTGAAGTAACTAGAAGAATAAGAATGGAGTGGAGCACATTCGGCAAGCATTCTCATATTATGACAGGTAGATTGCCACTATCCTTCAAGAGGAAGGTATATAACAGCTGTATCTTGCCGGTACTTAGCTACGGAGCAGAAACCTGGAGACTTACAAAGAGGGTTCAGCTTAAATTGAGGACGATGCAGCGAGCAATGGAAAGAAAAATGGTAGGTGTAACCTTAAGAGACAAGAAGAGAGCAGAGTGGATTAGGGGACAAACAGGGGTTAAGGATATCATAGCTGAAATAAAGAAGAGGAAATGGACATGGGCCGGGCATGTAGCGCGTAGACAGGATAACCGCTGGTCATTAAGAGGAGTGAGTGATTAGGCCTAGCTTACAGTTCGGCATGTTGTCGCTGGAAGCGCGTACAAAAGAATACGATGACTGAGCATCGAAAAGATAGCACTCAAGCCCTTATTCAAGAGTAGCGTGTGTGATACGATGTTTAGGTTCACAGCCAAATCAATGGCGACAAAAGTCCGTCGAGCTTGTGCAAGTTGATGTAGTGGCAGCAATTGTCAAAGCTCAAGTAGAAAAGCCGAAAAGCGAATTAATTTGCAACGAGGTAGCAAACGCAACGACGCTCTTTTCCGATAGAAAACTCAATGCACACCTGACGAGGACGTGATCGTGCGTTCTATACGAAGCGCATGCGGCCGGCAACAACTATAGCTACGCTTGTGCTTCAATGCAAAGGTTACTTTGATGACCAGGCAACCGCCAATCTTCCTCACTCGGCTAGCCCGCGTAGCTGGTGCAGCGCTGCCACAGTCATTTCTTGTGTTCTTTTTCCTCGTTTTAGTTGACATAAGAAGACGTCAAATTGCAACCATATAAATACGGTACAGAACTACTAATCACGGCCAAGATTGGGTTGCACCTATTGAGCGCAGAAATAAAAAATCTGATTTCTCACAACCAAATTGGGGGTGTGCCTATAATGCGAGCAAATACTATGATTTGATTATGAGGCATGATTTTGATTTTTATGTAGGTAAAAATAAGACATACATTAATGAAAACAATATGGCGGCTATAGCAAGATGAGTGATTTAGGCCCTTGTGATTTATGCCACTGTACATGAAAATCCTGATTTGTCTTTTCACATGAAATAAATTCATGGGCCGTGTAGACAGCTAAAACATTGTACTTACCCACAGTACTGTATTGAAATGTTTGAATGTGCTCGTAGATCGTTCTGTGGAATCTCACGCCCAACTCCAAAAGCACCGCATCTACATTCGTGCCATCAAGAGAGTCCCTAAGTTTTTCAATGCACTTGGTCACATACTTGACAACCTTTTGAGCCACCTGCAAGAGCGACACAAAGCAGATGTGGACGAATACGAAACAAATATATCACCTTCAACTTATCATACATGATGGTATCAACGAATTACACATCTAAATATGAAATCCAAGATAAGAGGGTCGACTTACAACCAAAACGGAAAAAATGACAGATCAGTCAAGCTGTGACATAAGACCTCGTGCTTACATTCCAGCTTTACATGTAATAATGTTTACTGTATATTCTCGCAATCAATCCGCACCCTGAAAAACGAATCGCAGAAACTTTTTGAAAAGAGATCTCCACAAGCCGCCACAAAGCTAGGTTTCCTGCATAAGGTTCGTACACAATATCTAACTGAATATTCTAGGACTTTTCAAGAATTTTAAGGATACAAAAAGGAAAGAATGAAGAACTGTTTAACGTAATTTTATTTTTGCACAGGAGCTCTACTATAGCACTATTTTTTTTTTTTTCAAGAGCAGCTACCTCCGCCTCTTTTTCTTTAGCTATTCGACGAAAACTGCTGGCCTTGAGTCATGTGATTTGTTGCTTCAGCATCTTTCGAAAAGTTATCCACTGATTCCAGCAAGCACTTCAGAGTTATTTGGAGCTTTGTATTTTTTGCTTGCATACTCCATAGCTCTAGCTCAAGTTTTCTTTTATAGGTTACCCGCTGTGACACAGCTTGCTTTTTCTGTTCTTCCTTGAGTAACGCATACTTATGTCTTGCTTGGCACACTGATGACTTCAGTTCCTTCAACAGTGGAACATTAAGCAGGCCACCATGGGTTTTCACGGCCTCCCAGATGACTCGTTGAGAGATATACCAAAGCTTTGCCACCACTATCTGCTTGTTGACACTGAAAACTCGTTCTACTAAAGCTTGTTCATGGCTAAGCAAGAGAAAGAAATTCCGCACTTCCCATTAGATCGAGAACAATGGGTCGTACTTTATAAGGTGAATGAAGAGAATGTCAAAGAACTCACGGTCTCCTTCATAGTTTTGCAGTTCACACAGTTTTTTTTGGCAGAGCTGAATAGAGTCAGCAGACACAATATCTCTCTGGTGCTCACAAAGAAGCTTGTTGCCACTTAAACTGTTAAGAACTTTCACCTTCCAAAGGCACATTTCTGTCTTGGACATCTCCATGGGTCGAAACATGACAACCCTCGAACAAGAGGGTACCTAAGAGGACTTCTCTCAATGATTTTAAGAATCATTTTCTTAATAAATTTCCGACACTCACTTGTAAACTCAAAAGCACACTTGTGGCTCACTTTCGCGCTCCTCAGGATGTTTTCAGCCGCACGTCTGACATTCACCCTCTCAAGCGACGTATAAGTGCCGACATCTCCAATGTCAATTCGCAAAATTTTCGTTATGCTCGCGGCATTTGCCATTACAGAGCGCTTCACGAACTTTGCAAGGAGGCTCCTCAAGACACTTTCCAGGTCTTTCACTAAAAAAAACAAAATGTTGAAAGAATCGCTTTGAAAAAAAGTCAGAAAAGGGTGCACAACCATTGCAATGTCTAAGGAAAGGTTCAGTTTCGCAAGTGGGAGCTGGATTTTTAGAAAAGCACTGACGTTCCCATACGCTCTACTTTTTGGCACGGGTAGCCTGTGGTCACCCACTGCTTCGGTGTAATGCTTCAAAATGCTCCCACATTGCTAGGCCTCTCTTTAGTACTGGCATTTTCTTGACACAGCAGTGGGGTACAAAAGAATGTGGAGACAGTTTTCTACCTGTCTCTTCAACAAAATCTTCATGATGGGCCAGTGCATCACAAAAGAGTGAGAATAAGCTGAACAGATACTACAGGTATCGAGTCGCCAGCTCATTGCATGCATTCCTGCTTTATAAGTGTTATGCACTGTGTGCGAGCCAGATAAACCAATATCCAGGCACTGAACTTGAAAATCATTCTTCATAACTGAACATACAAACAGCGCAACTTAAAAGTAGTTACAGTGTAACTATGGAAGTGAAGAAACAAGAATAGAAAAGAGTGCAGTTTCTTTTTTGCTGCAGCTTGTTGAAAAGACTCCAGTTGACATTCAGGCCGTCCATCGAGAGCTGCATGATATTGCTCAAAGGAAAGGACGCGAGTGTTTCTGTCAACTTCTTCAAAAGGTCGTCTGCTATGCTGTGACCCAATAATGTCAAAGCCAGATATCTGGTTGTCACGTCACAGTTGTTCCACAATATCATGTGAACATCAAGTTGTTTCCTTTGCTTGTATTCAATCAATATTTCGTCAAAAATCCCTACGAAATGCTTAAATTTCTCCACCATTTGTCGTACTTGTGAAGCGAAAAATGGGTGCAGACCATGGTATGCGACATAGGCGAATTTTTTCTCAGAACAGGTGAAGCTCTGCACAATTTCACTGTCTGAAAACATCTATTGAAATAGCTGAAATGGATGTATTGGAGCCATAGGAGTAGTGTGATGCCACAACTTTCTGCTTTGATCACAGAATCATGGTTTCTGCGTTCTTCAAGTGTCGAAGCTCCAGAGAAAGTTGCCGTGCTTTCCTGCTGAAAAGTAGCCATGAACGTGAAAAGTAGCCATGAAAAGTAGCCATTTGCCGCTTGCATAAAACTTGCGACGGATGAGCAGCCCTCAGCAGCTGTCGCTTTGGATTAGTGCTTTGCACCTTTATGATGGCTCTTCAAGGCAGATTCCTCCATTGTTGCATTGTTGACCATCTTCTGTATGATGCAGCCTTGCAGACTGAAACCTGCACTTCCCGCCCGGCATCTTTTTAAAGCGAACACAACGCACTGCGATAAATGGCGCCCACGAGCTTAACTGATAAAGAATTACTCACTAGTGTGCCGAGCGAAAGTGTCGTGGCAATACGAGGAGTGATGCCTGCCACTGTCAGCCGCCTGGTGTGCTGCGCCACAAGACCGTGCCGGAATGCGGGTGGACCAAAACATTAGGGTGGCCTTAAGAGAGACATGACGCGCATCTCCCCATTCGCCTGGTCGCAGCTGGGATTGCGCCCAGTACGTAGCAGTACCTCCCACGCGAACAGAACGAAAATGAGTCTCCCATGCAAGAGCATAATATTAAAAGGAAAGACATGATGCCCCGCCGATGATTCCGCATGCATGAATTTTGCAGCACTAAGTTCAATGCACCGCAGCGCCCCCTGAGCATGCATTAATGCAACGAACACAGGCTGGCTCGAGACTGCGCAGAGAACGCAGACTAGCTAGACTTAGAGACCATAAATGACCAAACGATATGCCCTGGATTGGATTCGATTTCCAATCGATATTAAGCCAGACACCGTAACGGCTGTGCGATTTGAAACCAAAACTCCCTGACGCCCTTAGTCAACACAGCTTGTTTTCGTGGTCATTCGTAAGCGACATTGAAATGAGCATGACTTACAGAGATATGCAGTTAAGTTTCTCTAGTGGGAAAAATTCTGTGGCATTTTCAAGGATGCTGCCATGTGAGGGCCTTCAGGCACATTCAAGCTGTATGATGCAACTTTTCGCCCGATGGACCCCCAACAATTTTGTTGGAAAATAAAAACCTTTCTGACATTGATTACAAGGAGTTCACGAGTATTCAAGGAGTTCAAGAACCCCTGGACTTATATTATCAATACCAAGAATATTTAAGTATTTCAAGGAGCTGTTGAAACTGTTGGGTATAGGGCCGCTGTCACCACTATTGGGTAACGTGTGCTTCTCAGCTCGCGGCTGCAACTGTGCAGAGCTGCTAGACAGAGTGGACAAGGCAATGGTGAGTTAAAGCAACATTTATGTACAGCACGTTACACATTTGGCACTGCGGCTGACAGCTTAGGGAGCTTGCACTTAAGTTTGTCGGAGAGCCGGGATGTCTTCGGACGCTCTCAGTTGCTCTGACGCTACCGTCCGATTGATAGATATGTGGGGTTTAACGTCTCAAAACCACTATAAGATTATGAGAGACGCCATAGTGGAGGGCTCCGGAAATTTCGACCACCAGGGGTTCTTTAACGTGCACCCAAATCTGAGCACACCGGCCTACAACATTTCCGCCTCCATCGGAAATGCAGCCGCCGCAGTCGGGATTCGAACCCGCGACCTGCGAGTCAGCAGCAGAGTACCTTAGCCACTAGACCACCGCGGCGGGGCGACACTACCCTCTGCTGCTTGTTGCCTGCCGCTTGGTTTTTTAAAAAGTACTGGGGATCCCTTATGTCCACAGCCTTCAATCAGGAACTGCCACTGGATTGCACCCATGGGCAAGTGGTATTGCCTAGCGTTGCGTAAGACGCGTCAGGCGAGATGATATTGCCACCTGATGTTCTGTGCCAGTGAACAGTGGGTCAGTTATATGCCGGTGAACGAGGAAGACGAATACGAGCAACCCGTGTCAGTGGAGACGTCCTTCTTTGTCTCCGAGATTTTTGACAGTCGCGTCCCTTTGTACGTTCCTTCGAGCTCTTAGCGCGTGACAACTGGTGGAGGTGCTAAGTACCCTACGCACCGAACCCCTCTCAGTACAAAAAGCTCCAGCCCCATACCGGTGGTTACGCCTGTTCACCGTGCTAGCCGCAGGATCCGTGGACTCGACCCTGAGTTCGGACTTCTCTCAGAAGAGATGACGGCCCCAACTATTCCAGGCAGCGCCGTCCCAAGCGGCTCCAACACAGCCTGTATGGAAGATGCAACGCCATTTCAATATACACCGTTCAAACCACGAACGCCGAATCCCTTTCATGGTGCTGTCCATGAGAATATTGAAGATTCGCTAGTCCACTATGACTTCGTTGCCGCTCATAACATGTGAGATGACACAGACAAGCTCCGACATGTCTACTTCAGTTTGAAGGATGGGGCACGTGTTTGGTACGAAAACCGGGCAGGTGCGTTCACGTCATGGGTGGACTTCAAATGCCGGCTTCTCGAAACGTGTGCAAGTCCCGATCACCGAGAGCGAGCTGAACGTGAACTCCAGAGCCGTATACAAATGCCAAATGAAGGCGTAGCAATGTACGTTGAGGAC